CCTCTTTGATTCACCTTCCCTCTCTTTCCAGCTCAGGGTCATGCTCTGCCACTGTTAAGCACCTCAAGATGCTACCCCACATAAAGAGTGCTATGCAAATGCAAGTTGTTGTTAAACTGCAATGTATCCTACCTCTGCTTCATCAGCCGTGTTGCCCAAAGACTCTCACTGTTACATTTGTGCAATGTCAATATTGTCAATGTTTGCAATAGCTGTGCTACTTTCAGTTCCGATAATATATGCTCCTTACTGTAGTATTAAAGAATTTAAGTTTATTCTTCAACAATTTCTCATTCTTATTTGAATCTGTTATGATATTTCCAATCTTTTTATAGGATTAACATTATTTCCTGCTGCCTCTTTGTAAACAAAACCATTCCTCAGATATTTTTGAAGTCTGAGCTCTTAGACACAAAATGAGTTTAAATTAGTGCTAATTATTGTTTTGTTGACTTCGGCCAGCCGTTTGCGTACTGTTAGCTTTTACACATATAGGCTAGGCTGACACTCATTGCAGTGCTGAGGGGAATTGTAGGTGGTGTCTTTCAGATGAGATATCATCCTTCAGATGAGATGTCTTTTCAGGTGAATGTTAAAGATACAATGGCACCATTCAAAAAGGAGATTCTATCCATGATGTCCTGGCCAACAATCCCCCAGATAAAATTTATCATTCACTTCATGTCTGTTTGTAGGGCATTGCTATCTGCAGATTCACCTATAAAATAAACAGTCACCATAGTTTACACTATTTATGCATGATATATAATTTGTTCCAGCAAAATATATTAAATCAGAACTTACAAAAATTACCAATAGATGGCAGGCTACTCAAAACCTTTCAACAAAATAAATTCATTTTTAGTGACTCACATAATACACAAGATTGAGGAATTAAAGCAATAGAAAAGAAATATATATGTACTTTAAGTCCTGGTATTTATTCTAAATGATTCAGAAATTGAGATGATACGATCAGGACAGGCAGCCTTACATCTAGTCTATGCATCTGGGCTGATCATTGGTAAATGCAAGTTACTGGATATTGGAAGCAAAATTAGGAGGTGAATATACTCCATTGAAAGGAATAGCCCTTCAAGAGAGGTTGAGAGAGATTTGGGAATGTTAGTTGACTCATTGGTCCTATATCTGAAGATTTTGAGCTTCAGTAAACAAGGTTGCTGGGAAGCAGCTGATGCTGGGCTATGTTGCTAAAATTGCCAGAAGTCAAGCTGAGCCATATATTACGTTTTTTTTGGTCAGCTGGGTGTCCCATCATCATGCTTAAGAGTATCCAAACCAAGCTGAGATTTCCATGTATCCCACCTACACATGGAAATTCCAGAGATAGATTGTTGGAATGGAATGCGCACTCTCTCCCTGGTGGGACGCATCCTGTTTACCTAATTCTGGAAAGTATTAGGCGCAGTTTAGCAATAGCCCAGGCTTGGGGACCCCAGAGTGTGCATTGGAGGATAGTCACTAATATGGACATTTGACATTCGAAAGCACGGGTTTGAGTCCTCACTCACTTGGTGGGTGGTAGGTACAAGGAACTCCCTGCGAGCTTCCCAGTTGGGCAGCGCATCTCAGCATGAAACGTGCAAGGGCATTGCCACTGTCTTTCTGTCCGCAGCTCTGGCACACATCTCTTTCCATTGAGCGATGGTTCCACCAATTGGAGGTGTAAATTTTAAGCAGCAGCTGCTTGCCTCTCTGCAGGCCAATCAAGATTCCAGGGGCTGGATATACGAAGGTGGATACTCATAAGCATGGTGATGGGTTTTCACATATGTCAGATTTGGACTCCAGGTAATACCTTCCAACAGCTGTCTCCCCAAGTCTCAGAGTTTCCTTATCTGCTATCTGGTGGACATCTGTTTTCAGCATAGTGGGCGTACTTTTGCAGGACAGCTTGTGATGGACCAGCTACCTTAATGTTCTTAAGGTCCAAGTCCAATGCCACATACTGGTCTTACTCTGCATCAGCTGCTCATTCCATCAATCTACATTAATCCAGGTCCTCATGAAAGTGGCCTTGGCAAATAGATGTGCCCACTCTGAAGCCACATCTGCCTCCAGGGTTCTTAGCGATAGGTCAGTGTAGGCCATAGCCATCCCTCCCTGTAGCCACTTCCCATGTTTGCCACAAATCCACCTCATTGCTTGATAATAATATAGTGCCTTATCATGTCATTGAGATGTCTCAAAGCGCTTCACAGAATATACTGTAAAGTAAATGTATTTTGTGGGAGAAACGCGGCATCCAATTGCGCACCCTAGACTTTGCAGATGGACCAGAGGAAGCCTCTCCACTGCATCCCCAGGAGCTCAGATCCATAAAAGTGAAATGTTTGCACAGTCTTGTAAACCACAAGCTTGACCTGTATTGGGACCTCACTGTCCTTGAAGAGGAATGAGTATGACCAGAGTGCCCCTCACCCCTTCTCAGTGTAGTCCTTCAGGACAGTGTCCAGGCTGAAGTTGGTGTTCACCTCGCCTCCGAGGTACCAATAATAGCCAACAATTGGGACTGTTGACCGTTGTATCTTCCAATCAATTCCATTGATGTCTTCCCTTGGGCAGTGCAGAACCATGATTCCACACTTGGGGGCGCATACCACCATGTCCCACCAGTTGGCCCAGTGATCACGATGTTGGGTGCAGCACAGAAGGTCCCCAGGTACGTCTGACAGCAACACAATAACATCTGCAAACAGAAGTGATGCAATCCAATCCAATCTCTAGTTACACTTTTGTTAAATCTTTTAATCTGATTGTAAAGACTGGCAAAAAATGGCTAGTGTCAGTTAGCATTTGGCATTTTATAGACCCCATTGTTTCAGAAGGAGCCTTACAGAAGTATATGATATTTAAGAGATAATGAAAGCAAACCGTATAAATACAGAATACATGTTGAATGGAGTAAGCATCTAGGAAACGATCTTATAATAAGAAAACTTCCAAATACCACCTTTCAAGTCAGAAGGATATCTCAAAGCGCTTCACACAATTTACTTTAAGTGTAGTGACTATGTATTTTGTAGGCAAATGTTCCAGTGTTTCAGTAACTGAGTATCATCTGTTTGTGTACTGTATGAATTTGAATTGTATGAGTTTGTAAGAGGTGTTTTTTTTCAAATTCAATAGAAACAGTGATATTTCCATGAACAGGAATGATCTTATTATTACAATACATAAAACAAAATGTGGGTTGATAGGAATAAATAGTTTAACGATTATATTTATATTATTCAACTGGTTTGTTTACACTGATACATTTCTTTCAATTAGGCACTGTTTTGCCAAACATCTCCATTCTGACATTGCCCCTATTAGTTAACAATACATTTGAACAATATATCCTGTTGCCATTTGAAGAATTTGGAGATTGAGACTCAAGGGACAGGACAAAAGTAGTCAAAAAGGCGAATGGAATGTTGGCCTTTAACTCAAGGGGCCAGGAATACAAAGTGGAAGAAACGATGCTTCAGCTGTATAGAGCGTTAGTCAGACCTCATCTGGAGTACTGCGTTCAGTTTTAGGCACCACACATCAGGAAAAATATATTGGCCCTGGAGGGGGTGCAGCGCAGGCTCACCAGAATGTTACCAGACCTTAAGAGGTTACGTTATGAGGAAAGGCTGCGTAAATTTAGATTGTATTCCCTTGAGTTTAGAAGGTCGATGGGTGAATTTATTGAGGTATTTAAGATGGTAAAGTGATTTGATAGGGAAGCTATCAAATCAAATCAAATTATTTGATACAGAGAAGCTATTTCCTCTGTTGGGGGAATCCAACACAAGGGGCATAGTCTTAAAATTAGAACCAGGTCATTTAAGAGTGAAATCAGAAAGCGTTTTTCACTCAAAGGCTGATAGAAATCTGGAATTCTCTCCCCCAAAAGGCCAGGGATGCTGGATCCATTCACACCTTCAAGAGTGAGGTTGATAGATTTTTGGTAGGTCAGGGTATCAAGGGATATGGGGAGAAAGCGGGAAATTGGAATTGAACTGATTAGTTGAGGTACAGAACAGACGTGATCTAATTAAATGGCTCGAAGGGCTGAATGGCCTCCTCCTGTTCCTATGGACATCACTGTCCACTCTGAATTTATTTCCCAGAGTATATTTTAAACGTGAGCATTTCTCCTTTCAGGCGTTTCAAGAAAACAGTAAACCTTGGGCCGATTGTCCGATTATAGGCAAATATATACTTGTAATGGGCAAACCATCTGATTCTCTGTTATTCAGTAAACATAGCAGTGAGGTTATAATGGGAGAATCCATCAAGACTAGGGTCCTTTAGTGTAGTGGTTTGTGCGTTCATTTCGCAAGCAAGCGAGAGGACCCGGATTTCATTCCCATGGGGCTAAACATTACAATAATAATAATAATTATAATCCTTGCATTTGATATCGCGCTTTTCATGTATTCGAGACGTCTCAAAGCGCTTCACAGAATATACTGTAAAGTGAATTGACTGTATATTTACAGTCATTACCATAACGCCCGGTTACCACAGCCCCCATTACCATACCCCCTGGTTACTACACCCCCCATTACCATACCCCCTGGTTACCACACCCCCCCATTACCATACCCCCTGGTTACTACACCCCCATTACCATACCCCCTGGTTACCACACCCCCCCATTACCATACCCCCTGGTTACCACACCCCCCCATTACCATACCCCCTGGTTACTACACCCCCATTACCATACCCCTGGTTACCACACCCCCCCATTACCATACCCCCTGGTTACTACACCCCCCCATTACCATACCCCCTGGTTACCACGCCCCCATTACCATACCCCTGGTTACCACACCCCCCATTACCATACCCCTGGTTACCACACCCCCATTACCATACCCTCTGGTTACTACACCCCCCCATTACCATACCCCCTGGTTACCACGCCCCCATTACCATACCCCCGGTTGCCACGCCCCCCATCACTATGCCCCGCCCCCTCCCCGCCCCGCCCCGCCCCTCATGACGGCACTGCCGGGTTGCCAGGCGCCTGCTCGCTGTTCGCTTGTCATGGCCGCTGCTCTTCGCCGTCTCTCGCTGCTGCCGGGAGAGCGGGACACGGTTTGGCGCTTGTTGTGGGGTCGGGCTGTGCCTCAGCTCGTGGGTGAGTTTGGCGGAGGCCACGATGACAGGGTGGGGGGCCGGGCAGGGAGGGCAGGGCCGGGCAGGGCAGGGCCGGGCAGGACAGGGCAGCGCGGCCTCGGCCTCTCTTGAGCGTCAGGACCCGGGGACCAGGAGCCAGTGTGAGCTCAGCCGGGAGTGCAGTTGTCTAACCCGCTGCCGGGGTTACTGGTCCTGTCTCTGTGCTGTTTGAGGGAGGTGAGCGGGTACCCCCCCGGGGGGGTGGGGGGGGGGGCACTGGCCAAATAATAATATGAAAGATACAATATCCATAGAAATTCACCCACAAAATATACAGTCAGTCCAATTTACAGTATATCCTGTGAAATGCTTTGATACGACGTGTTAAGGTGATGTACTAAATACAAGGATTATTATTATTATATCAGTGTAAATTGTACGCTTACCTCTCGGGTCGGAAAGTTGGAGTGTAGTGACAGTAGCTTCTCCCGGGGTACGGTCAGGTCGCAATCCTTTTGGTAAATTGATCAGTTAGTTAACAGTTGGTTTTGGTACCTCCTAAGTGCAAATTGGCTGCTGCAATTTCCTATAATAATAATAATAATAATCTTTGCATTTGATATAGCGCTTTTCACGTTGGGAGGACGTCCCAAAGCGCTTCACAGAAGACACTGTAAAGTGAATTGACCCTATATTTGTGGGCGAACGCGGCAGCCAATTGCGCACAGCAATGTCCCACAAACAGTCGTAGATTGAAAATGACCAATTTATTATTGTTTGGGGTTTTGGAGGGATTATTATTAGGCTCTGTGTGGAGTAAGGAAACTTGCCCAAGGTTTCGCCCTCTGCCTGGAATTGAACTCAGGTCTCTCACTTGCAAAGCGAGTGCTCTAACCACTGAGCTACAGGACTCCACACAATACAATACCAATACAACAACAAAATTACGATTATATATAGCGCCTTTCATATCGAGAGGACGCCCCAAAGGCAATACACATTTACAGTCACTTACAAAGAAATCTCTTATGGAACATACCTTATCATGTCACTTTTTCAACAGTTTTAAGAATGAACTCCTGTACAGTGACTGGAATTTGTGGGTGACATGGCAGTCAATGTACGCACATCAATCTTCCATAAACAGCCATGAAGTGAATAAGCACTGTTATCAGGCCAGGACACTGCGGTAGAAACTCCCTGCACTTTTCAAATTGTGCCATAAGATCTTTATTATCTATTTTAACAAGCAGATGGGACCTCTTATTTCACGTCTCATACAAAGGACAATACCTCTACATTGCAGCACCTTTAGCATCGCAATAGAGCGGCGTGGTACAACTGGCAGTCCACGGGACGATTTCATCAACCCCCCCCCCCCCCCCGCCGCCCGCTCACCTCCACTTCATCTGGCCCACCCGCTTCCTTTATAAACCTTAAACGTTATGTTATATTTCAGGAAGCGAAACACAAAAAATTGCTTTGCGGCCCGTGAATGTTTCTCAAATAGGGCATCCGTCTCTCAGCAGCCAAAAGATTGGACCACCCTGCACTAGAGTATCAGCATAATAATAATCCATGAATGTGATATTGCGCTTTCACATCAGGAGAATGTGTTAGAGTCTTCACAGTATGTCCACAAACGGTTTCTCCTCTAGTCCCCGCATTGCCTTGTGCGGCGTTCCTCAGGGCTCTGTCCTTGAGCCCCTCCTCTTCAATATCTATATGCTCCCTCTTGGTGACGTCATCTGCAGACATGGGGGTCAACTTCCACATGTATGCGGATGACACCCAATTCTATCTGTCTGCCTCCACCCTTCACTCCAGGACCACTGCTGTCCTGACCACAAAACCAAGGCCCTCCACACCTCAGGCGCTGACAGTATCACCGTCCATGGTTGCACACTCCATCTTACTAAGCCAGACCGGAACTTCGGCGTCTTGTTTGACCCTCAATAATTCTTTCTCCTGCACATCCATGCCATGATCTGCTCTGCCTTGCCCCACTTCTGCATCGCCCTGCTCCGCCTCACACTGTCTCACACTGCAAGCCGCTGAAACCCTCACACAAGCATTCATAACATCCAGCCTAGACTATTCAAACTCCCTGCTTGTCGGCCTCCCCAACTACTCCCTGCATAGACTGAAGATCATCCAGAACTCTGGAGCCCGTGTCCTCTCCCACACCGGACTCCGTGACCCTATCGCTCCCATCCTGGCCCGATTCCGCTGGCTTCCCATCACACAGAGGATGCAAGATCCAGGAGCTTACCTTCAAAGACCTCCATGGCCTTCTTAACCCCCTACCTACCTGCCCGCTCCCTCTGCTCAGCGGGCTCCTGCTTGCTTCACGTCCCCTGCCCCACCATCGGCGGGCAGGCCTTCAGACACTCCCATTCTCTGGAACTCCACCTTGCAGTCTCTCTGCCTCGCCCCTTCCCTTGCCTTCTTCAAGACCCTTCTCAAGACACTCCTCATCGACTGTGTCTTCAGTCACCCTCCTTCCTTCCCCTGCCCTACACCCGCCCCATTCCCGACCCCCAGCTCGTGTCTGAAACACTGACTGTCCAGCGCCTTGGGACGTCCTCCGAAGTGAAATGTAATTTTGTTGTTGTTGATGGTTCAAAAAAAATTCCATTCACATTTTCAACAAAGATTTGTTTTTGCACAGTATTCATATTTTTAAAATTCTGCTGTGGCTTCATAACTGATATCTAAGCCAATTGAAAGGTTGGGTGAATCAGGTTTTGAACTGATCGGTCCAAGTCTAATGCTACAGCAACTGAGTTACATGGGATACCTTGTGTAAGTCTACAAATAAGCTAATTCATGTTTTCTACTGTTAAGGGTGTAGGAATAAATCCTCAGTCCAGTACCTAGTTCGTCCAGATCTACCTAAATTGGCATATAAGAGGATAAAAGGCAAGAGCCCTGGAATTATTTTCTTGCCAGGCTTTGCATCAACTATGAATGCAGAAAAGGCACTGGAACTGGAGGACTTTTCCAAATCACTCGGGCACTCTTTTATAAGGTACTGTATCGATACTCTACAATAGGACCTCTATTATTTATTGGCTGAGCAAACTAGTCATAAATGAAGTTGTTGGCCCACGGGCCACTCGCTGGTTACCCAAAGTCACTGGGTGGGGTGGCTCTGGACGCACATGCGCGGTGCAGTGAAGTGCCAAATGGGCTTCACTCAGAGGCCCCGATGTGGTTATCTGTGTATTTGTGATTGTAAGTGTCTGTGTGTCTCTCTGTGTTTCTGAGTGTCTGTGTGTCTATGTGTTTCTGAGTGGTCTGTGTGTCTCTCTCTGTGTTTCTTGAGTGTTTGTGTGTCTCTCTGTGTTTGTGAGTGTCTGTGTGTCTCTCTCTGTGTTTGTGAGTGTCCGTGTGTCTATGTGTTTGTGAGTGTCTCTGTATCTATGTCATTGTGAGTGTCTGTGTGTATCTCTTTTATGTGTTTCTGAGAGTCTCTGAGTGAATGTGCATGTATGTCGTATGTGTGTATTTATATATTTCTGTGTCTGAGTGTGTGTCTCTCTCTCTCTTTCTCTCGAATGTGTGTGTCTGTGAGTGTGTGTCTCTCTCTGTGTCTGTGCGGTGCCGGCCCTGAGAGGCATGAGGTGGTGAGCTCGTGTAGCCTCACTGGTGTCTCTCCCCCCCCCCCCCCAACAAAAAAAGCCACCCAGTTTACATTAAAGAAGTATATTTTTTGTTGCAGTAATCTAATATGTGTTGTTCCCTTATGTTTAATTTTTATCAATAAAGTGAAAAAAAGTAGGTTGATAGTAAAATGTACCTCAATAGCACCAATCACTCCCTGCAAGTTTCCGCAGCATTTGCAAATCTCTGCAATTTTTTGGCAGATATTTCCGCACTTTTTTATTGGCCCAGCATATTGGGCTTCTCTGCTTTATGAAACATGTGGCTCCAGAAAGGCGCATTTACTTTCTGGCTACAATATATTTTCCTTTGGGAATGCATTTATTCTTCTTCCATTCCCCCATCACCCCACATTCCCTATTGCAGTGATTGGAGATGATATCTCTGATGTAAGTATTGCTGTATGTTCTACAGTATAATTACAGTGCCTCCACACTGATTGCTCTGCTCACAAGAACAAGGATATCCTGAAAGAGCAACATCTCAGGCAGGGAGATCGAAAGCATGGTCGAAGAGGAGGGTCTTGAGATGGGTCTTGAAGGTGGCAACAACAAGATTCCATTTATAGAGCGCCTTTCACGTCGGGAGGACGTCCAAGGGAAGGGTGGGTCGGAGGGACTGCGGGATGGAGTTTCAAGTGGGGATAGAGTGGTGGAAGGCCCGTCTGCCAATAATGGGGCGAACGAGGTGGGAGACGTGAAGCAGACTGGAGCCCGCTGAGCGGAGGGAGTGAGCATGATGCTAGGGTGTAAGGAGGTTGCGGGGGAGCAAGACCATGCAGGGATTTGAAGGTGAGGACCAGGTTCTTGAACTGTATCCTCTGTGTGATGGAAAGCCAGTGGAGTTGGGCAAAGATGGGGGTGATAGGGTCGCGGAGTCTAGTGCGGGAGAGGACACGGGCTGCAGAGTTCTGGATGATCTGCAGCCTGTGGAGGGAGATGTTGGGCAGTCGATTGTTGAACCTTGATGTAATGAGGGTTTCGGTGGCCTGCGGTGTGAGACAGTGGCGGAGCCGGGCGATGTTGCTGAGGTGGGGGAAGGCAGAGCGGGTCATGGCGCAGATGTGGGGTAGAAAGTATAGTTGAGACTCAAACAAGACCCCAAGGTTCCAGACTGGCTTAGCAAAGTGGAGTGTGCAACCATGGATAGTGATGCTGTCAGCGCCTGAGGTGAGGAGGCACTGACTGGAGCCAATCAGGAGAGTCTCGGTCTTGTTGACGTTCAACTGAAGAAAGTTAGCTCTCATCCAGGACTTGATGTCTGACAGACATTCAGTCAGGACAGCAGTGGTCCTGGAGTCAAGAATAGAGGCAGAGAGATAGAGTTGGGTGTCATCCGCATATATGTGGAAGTTGACCCCAGGTCTGCGGATGATGTCACCAAGAGGGAGAAATAGATATTGAAGAGGAGGAGACCAAGGACAGAGCCCTGAGGAATACCGTACGAGACGGTCCGGGTGCTAGAGGCGGAGCCGCCGAGGTTGAGGTGAAAGCAGAGGCGGTGGATGAAGATAGAGTGGTCAACGATGTTGAAGGTAGCAGAGAGGTCAAGGAGGACGAGGAGGCAGAAAGAGCCCTGGTTGAAGATGAACATAATGTCATTTGTCACCAGAAGATAGATTTTAAATCATCTTAATTTTTCTGTGTACGATTTTGTGCTGTATAATTGTTTTTAAGAATTCATTCTGTTCTTCAATGAGTTCTTCTGTAGCCCCTACCTTCAGCTTTGGCTCCCAGTTGGTTATGTGAAGCACTTTGAGACTTCCTTCCAATGTGAAAAGCACTATATAAATGTAAAATTATTATTATTGTGCTCTTTTACCCTCTTCAATTTAGGGTGCTTCCTGCAATCATTACTGTTTTTATCCTAGATATAACTTTACAATTTTATAGAGGTGTCTGCTTGCAAAATTCTGTCCATTGCTAATGTTACTTTTGTCTGTTAAGGTTTGATTATACTGGCTGTGGTGCGTCCGAAGGCGTCTTCAGTGAGTGCACAATAGGTCAATGGAAGAAGGACGTTCTGGCTGTGATTGATGAACTTGCAGAAGATCCACAAGTTAGATTTTAATATTGATATAAATTATTAGGAAGAAATTATGATTGGGAAAGACATAAATGTATTCTGCAGTTATATTTTCAGAATCATTTCTGCAGAACTGATTTTCGATCTTGCAGCGAATCCAGCCATGAGGACATTTGCGAAATAGACTTGAGATATTTTGTTTAGTCATATTTTTATAAAATTTCAATTGCCATCCATTATATAAGCTGGAGCAACGGTAATTTATGTAAAATCTGATTTTATGGAATTTATGTTCATTCCATAAATGCTCATCCAGTGAATGGATCATTTTTAAAAGTGAGTTACATTGGGAAAGAGGAAGGAAAGAGAAAAATCTTATTGCGTGGATCATGTAACTGTTCATTTATTGTGTTAGAATAACATATCCCCACTATTTATTATTTATTTTCTTCCGTATTATTATCTCTTTTGCTGGCACAAGTTGCTGTTTCATTTGCCTCCATAACATTCAGTTCATTTCTAATTAATCTCATTCCGTAAAGCAGTTTAAGATATCTATTTTGCATGAAGGAGGTATAAATATATGGACAAGTTTTTAAGGAGTAAGTGGTACATTTTGTTCCTCTTTTAAGATTCTTGTGGGTTCCAGTATGGGTGGATGGCTCATGCTCCTCGCCGCAATAGTACGTCCTGAGAAGACAGCGGCTCTTGTTGGCATAGCTACAGGAGCTGATTATTTTGTAACTGCTTTTAACCAGCTTCCTCTAGAGGTAAGTTTGTGATGCTCTGAAATGCATTCACTTATTTTTCTTCTTGTGATGTAATCAAAGTTTCAAAATATTGTCCATCTTTCATTTTATTTCCCCCTTCATTGAACTATGAAACTCATTAGTTTACGTCTACCACCTACCCCTTTCTGTGCCACAAACTGAGGCCTGCTATACATCCCCTCAACTACCTTTTGTGACAGATTTTGGCCATTATACTGCTCTGTCTGGAATTTCCTCCTCAAAACCTTGCTCCATCTTACTTTGGTTTGCAAAATCCTACTAAAAACTTACCACTTTACCCAGACTTTGGTCATCTTCCTCATAACCCCTCTTTTTCCACCCTGCTCAGGTTTCCACACCACTTAGGAAAATGTTTTGAGATATTATCCCACATGAAAGATGATATATACACTTTTATAACATGATGGTTGGACCTATAAAATGTGCAACCAGGCGCAATAGCCAATTTCAGTGGGTACAGGTGGCTAGCATACCAGACACAAAGAGAAAAATAGCCAACTTCTAGGTCATCAGGTCACTCCTGACATCACTTCTAGATTCCTGCACATATAACAAGCTGGAAGAGCCACCTGATGATCCACAAATCTCCCTTTTTTAGCAAGAGAAGTTAAAATGGTCGACCTCTGGGTCAATATGTTGCTGCAGAGTCATTGCCTGCTTTTAAGCACTCTGAGACACCACCCCCCAGAAAGGGCACCATGTAAATTTAGGTTGTTGTTGATGCTTTGTGCTTGTTCCTCGCAACAAGAAGTGACGGTTACCTAATGACTTATTGTAGTGCAAAAGCTGGGCAATGTGGGGTAGTGAGTTGGCCAGCTGCATGTGTCTGCGGTGAATGGGGTCCATAGTGCAATCACGATACAAATAAATTCACACGGTAAAGAAGCACATTGTAATGTGACTGCATTGTAAGTCCAAGCTGTTGTTACTATCGACCTGCCAACTTGTGTAAGCCATAAACTAACCATGCATAAAGGAATCTTAGAGAATGGAAGATAATCACTGGGAGAAAGTTTCTGATATAATCTACTGGTGAGAAACCTTGCGTGGCATACCGTGTGCAGTCTTCTGTAATTACATTATGTTTTATGTTTTGGTTGATAAAACAAATAGTTTAATCTTTTGTTTGTAGAATTGAGTTGCCTTCTGCACCATTTATCATCCCAACAGTTTGTGTTGCTGAGGCAGCTGAGTGCTAAGAGTACAGTGTTTGTATTCTGCTGGTATATAAGGAAAATGTGGATGATTCAGTGCTGAGACAGTGAGAGGCAATACTAATATTGCATATTGCACAAATTAAAAAACAGATTTATAGAGAAATTAGCTACACAAGAATGTTGGTAGGATTTATTTGTAAGGAAGGACTATGCATTATGGGTAACACTAATTTGTTAAGAATGGTACGGAATTTACATAGATTGCATAAATTCATAAATATGCCAATCCATGCCAGGGTTTATACTCCACATGATTTGCCACCCACTCCTTATTCCCTCTCATATATTTTTGGTCCTTTTTCCCTCATCTTCTAATCTTCAGATAATTCTTCCCAAATTACATTAATATTGACCTATAAGAAAATTAAATCAATTGAAATTATAGAGCAATTAAAAGAAGCCAATCCAACCCTTACGGCTCAGTACATTTTATTCAGCCAGAAACGAAACCATGGCATAAACAAGAATTGTACCAATGGAATGCCCCAGCATTGAATACTTGTTTTGCAAACTTTAAAGGAAGTGTACAGTGAAGTGCAATTGACAAGGTCCTGGAGAGCAACCAGCATCTGTGGGCTGTACAGATTAGCATCTATAACTGTTATCCCAGTGGAAAGAAAAATGAATCCAGCGCCTTTTGGAGAGGAAGGGGAGTAAATGAATGCAAAAATGGCAAGAGGGAGAGTAAAGTAAAGTTTAAACCTCTACCGCCTTTTCAGGATAATGAACGGGTGTCCCCACATGCTATGATATTTAATACAATAGGTCAGTTATTTTTCCAAAGATAAGTAGCAACTGCCTCTCGTACAAAATCCTAACCATTTCGTTTTCATTAGCTGGATTCCTTTTTCATTAGCCTCACTTATAGAGAGCAGTGATGACTTTCCATCAGGCTGTTTGTATGCTGTTATAAAGAGATTGAACATTTGCCAGAAAATTCTTGTCCAAACCCATTTGAGATTGCATTGTTCAGTGAGAAATGTACAGTGTAGCATATAAGGAATTCCTGCTTTGTGAATAGTCTGTTTCAATAGAGATTCTTAAAGCAGCAAGTATACTGCTTGTTCATGTTAAGTGGTTCCAGATTTAAGCTTATATGTGAAAGAAGCACTCTTCAATTCATGAGAAATATTCCACTACCAAAAAAGTACTGATAATATATCATTGCAGAACCTTTAGGCCAACTGCTGACATAAGGTTTGTGATTTTTTTATTTCAGTTGTGTCCTAAATTATGTTCTTTCTGTTATTAGATGAGGAAAAGAATTGAAGAGACAGGCGAATGGTTTATGCCAACAAAGCAGAAGGAATCAGAATTTTTCAAGATACCATTCCAATTCCTTAAGGAAGCTGAAAATCATTGTGTGTTGCGTAGCCCCATTCCAATAACATGTCCTGTGAGGCTTATCCATGGTTTGAAGGATGAGGATATTCCCTGGCAGATTTCTTTGCAAGTGGCTGACAATGTTCTTAGCGCAGATGTAGATGTAATCCTTCGCAAACATGGGCAGCACCGAATGAAAGGAAAGGATGATCTCAAATTAATAGTATATACAATTGATGATCTGATAGACAAACTTACAACACTTGGGTAAATGCGCATGATTCCAAATTCATGCTGGACATGTATATTACTTATCAGTACACTGAAAAGAAAGAAATTGTCTCCATAGCCAATTCCTGTAATGTGAATAACCTGTTCTGCATTGACCCCTCCAAAAAACTTGCTTTTGAAATGTTGGAGCAAATATTCTATGGATAAAAAACTTTTTCTATGCTATTACCAAGCAAGAATAGATGACAACATTTTGGTAGATATTACATGCAATGCAGTACATGACTGCGTGCAGTTTGATCTGTAAACCTAGGGAAATGCATACAATCTGAGTTTTAAAACATCACTACAAAATCTATTACTGTGAAATAAGATGGTGGCTTTTCAGCAAGGGTTTCAGTATTGCATTTTGTTATCACTGGTGTCTAAAGCACAGAACAACTAACTCCTGGTCGTCACAAGTAGGTAAGCCCAACTAGAGGAACTTCACTCTTGACACAGTCTGCTTCCAGAATGCAGTTCTCACGGGTTGGATTGATGCAGTTCTCTTACCAGCAGAAGTCCATATTTGAATGACTATTTCAGGTGTGAATGTTGTGCTTTAGTCCCCACTTAAGTAGACTACCTAATTTTTCTATATGCCTTAATGTGAGCCTAATAAATTCTGTCCGAGAATGCTGCATTTGCACATAATGTTGTAAATGCTGCTAGCTTCATTGAAACGATCTTTTCCTGGTTTGTTCGGCAAGTACAATTCAGTATTACAATTCTCTGTTTTCTTGTGAATGTACTAGATTTCATTTTGAGAGTTCATATGGGATTTTGTTTTACAGATGTGCCATGAGTCTCAAAATTCTAATGTTACATATGTTTTTACTATAATTTACTTTATGTCAAAATACTTAATAAAATTGTTAACCCCTGTGTACTGTGTATTATGCTGCTTTTGGAGGCCACCTGGAAAGCATTTATTATCTTATTAATTTATCTGTGGATCTAATTAATGTACATTATTTTAAAGGTGAAATGTCTCTTCAAAGATTGTTAAATCAAGGGCCAAGTGAATTAAGGGAATTTAATTACCTATTTAACAATTATTTTGTAGTAAGTCTGACCTTTTTCAGTGAAATAATTCTCTAGTGCAGCTATATATGAGAACTTACACTAAGACTATCCTTACTTAAGCAACCAGAATTACACCAAAATGTTGACCATATGAACACGCTTCCCAGGTTACCTGTACTTTCAATGGGAAAGCTCATAATTATTATTTTGTTAACACCCAGCATAAACTAAAGAGTCTGTCTTTAGTTTTATAAATCTTTTTAGGGGGTTGTTATGTTCCAGGTTGCTACAAATAGTAAACAATCCATTTGCAGTGTATTCAAAAAATCTATGTTAATTTGTTTATATCTGTGTGTATGTTGAAACTTTGGATGTGCCACTTTGTCACAGGTTTTCACCTTGGTGACTGACTTTCTACTGCTTTCACAATTAAAAGAAAACTATGAACTGCCATTAATACTATGTTTTCTTTACATTGTACATCGCTCAGTTTTTTAAATGAGATACCCTATTTGTGGTACATATAAAATGTAAGAGGCTTGTTTTATTAAATGTGTGAACTTGGCATAGTTTAAAATATTTGTAGCTGATTAGGGGGATTCACGACCTTGCTGAAAATTAATAATTGGTAATTGTTGCCTGAAAACCTATTAAGAAAAGAGAACTTGAAACTGATGATTATTTCTTCTGAAGAACATAAATAAGTGAAGCCCAATACCATTTAGTACTGCATACATAGTTCTTAATGCAACATCTCGTATATATATCTAAACATATTTGTTTTAATTGGAAGTTTTGCTTCCTCTCTCTCCTCCACTCCCCCCCTCCCCCCAACATAACAGTGACTCTCGACCAACCAAACTATTAATTTGGTTAACATACATAAGAGTTAGTGACCACAGCATAAAAGTAACACCTCAAGATTCCTTTCTGAGGATCAGATTTTAGTTAAAGTATGGAAATATGTTTAAGACCTGTGCATAGAATTCCCTTTTAGTGACTTAGATTGAGCAATGCTCCTTGCATTATTTTAAATGCCAAGAGAAAACCATACTCTCCGAAGAATCATCATCAGGGCTTTGAATGAATAGGCCAAAAAGTAGACAGAAAATAGATTGGCGCCTCAAAAATGCAGTGTTAGTGAAAACAGCGAAGATGGTATCAATGTGCATAACAACAGTAAATTTGAAGAACCTAGAAAAGTTGCAATGCAGAAAACAATAACACTAGGAAATTCACCAGAGCAGTTCCCTGAGTAGTGCAGCTTGCACTACCACAGGCTGAAATTGCAGATCCATCAGGAGGTCAAATTCCTCTGCAGCAACATTGTTAATGTGTGTTTAGATTAGAAAAATATCATTGGCAAATTTGCTACACGTAGTAGCAAGAGCGATTTCTCCAATGTATTTCATAAATGTTTTCTCCCATCCATAAATTTCCCAGCTGAAGCTTTTTGTCATTGCTTCTCGGCTCAAGGAAATGTGAACATAACATAAGAATTAGGAGCAGGAGTAGGCCATTCGGCCCCTCGAGCCTGCCCCTCCATTTGATAAGATCAGTGCTGATCTTCAGACCTACCTCTAATTACCTGCCCTATCCCCATATCTCCTAATGACTCTATTAAAAAATCTATCAGTCTCAGCCTTGAAAATGTTCAAGGACTGAGCATCTACAGCCTTCTGGGGTAGTGAATTCCATAAATTCACTACCCTCTGAGTGAAGAAATGTTTCCTCAACTCTGTTCTAAAAGGCTGACCCTTAATTTTAAGAATGTGACCCCTGGTTATAGATTCTCCTACCAGGGGAAACAGACCCTTAGTGTCTACTTTATCCAGCACTTTGAGAATCTTATATGTTTCAATAAGATCTCCCCTAACTCTTCTGTACTCTAGAGAATACAGTCCTAGTTTATTCAGCCTCTCCTCATAGGTAAGTCCCCTCATCCCAGGAACTAACCGAGTGAATCTACGCTTCACTCCCTCTAAGGTACGTATGTCCTTTTTTAAATAAGGAGACCAAAACTTTGTTATTGAATGGCGGAGCAGGCACGAAGGGCCAAATGGCCTACTCCTGCTCCTAATTCTTATGTTCTTATGTTCTAAAACTGCACACAATACTCTAGGTGCGGTCTCACCAAGGCCCTATACAGTTGAAGCAAGACTTCCCTACTCCTGTACTCTAAACCTTTTGCAATGAACGCTAACATGCCATTCGCCCTCTTAGTTGCTTGCTGCACCTGCAAACTAACTTTTTGAGACTGGTGTACAAGGACACCCAAATCCCTCTGAACACTAGCACTATCTAATCTCTCCCCTTCTAGAAAATAATCTGTTTTTCTATTTTTTCTACCTAGGTGAATGACTTCACACTTCCCCACATTAAATTCCATCTGCCACCTACTCGCCCACTCCCCTAGTTATCTAAATATTGTTGCAATCTTTTTGCATCATCCTCAGAGCTTACTCTCCCACCTAGTTTTGTGTCATCCGCGAATTTAGATACGTTACATTCAATGTCCTCGTCTAGATCATTGATGTAAATTGTAAATAGCTGAGGCCCAAGCACTGATCCTTGTGACACTCCACTAGTCACATCCTGCCAATTCGAGAATGACCCGTTTATCCCTACTCTCTGTTTTCTACCCGTTAGCCACTCTTCAATCCATGCTAATATGTTCCCATTAATCCCGTGGGCCTTAACCTTGTGCAATAGCCTTTTGTGTGGCACTTTGTCAAATGCCTTTTTAAAATCTAAATATACTACATCTACTGGTTCCCCCTATCTAACCTGCTGGATACATCTTCAAAAAACTCTAAAAGATTAGTTAAGCATGACTTCCCTTTTGTAAAGCCATGTTGACTCTGCCTAATCTTGTTATGGTCTTCCAGGAATCCCATAACAACATCCTTAATTAAGGACTCAAGAATTTTCCCTACCACTGATGTCAGACTAACTGGTCTATAGTTCCCCATCTTTTCTCTCCCACCCTTCTTAAATAGTGGTGTTACGTTTGCAATCTTCCAATCAATGGGAACCGTTCCAGAATCCAGAGAATTTTGGAAGATCAAAGACAAGCCATCCACTATCTCAGTAGCCACCTCTTTTAAAACCCTAGGATGTAGGCCATCAGGTCCAGGAGATTTATCAGTTTTAAGACCTGACAATTTACCTAAAACCATTTCTTTACTAATATTAATTCCCCAAGTTGCTCGCGAACATTGTCTTCTTGGTTCCCCTCTATTCTTGGTAGGTTTTCAGTGTCTTCTAAGGTGAAGACAGTAGCAAAGTACTTGTTTAATGACTCTGCCATGTCTTTGTCCCCTACTATAATTCCCCCGTCTCTGCCTGTAGCGGACCCACATTTACCTTTGACAGCCTCTTCCTCTTTATATATTTATAAAAACTCTTGCAGTCTGTCTTTATGTTCTTCGCTAGTTTGCCCTCATATTCCATTTTCTCCCTCTTAATCACTTTTTTGGTTCTCCTTTGTTGATCCCTAAAGTTCTCCCAATCCTCGGGTTTACTACTCATCTTAGCTGTTTTATAGGCTTCTTTAACTTTATACTTTCTCTAACTGCTCTAGTTAGGCCACGGTTGGGCCACCTTTCCCGTGACATTCTTATTCCTCAAAGGAATAGGTGCTCGCTGAGAATTTTGCATCTCCTTAAACGTCTGCCATTGCTGGTCTACTGTCAAATTCTTAAGTCTAATTTCCCAGTTTATTTTAGCTAAATCCTCTCTCATTCCAGCAAAGTTGGCTCTATTTAAATTTAAGACCTTTGCTTCGGACTTTACTTCTCTCTCTAACTTAATGCTAAATTCCATCATATTATGATCACTTGCCCTACAGGAGCCTTAATTTCCAGTTTACTGATCAGTCTTGCTTCATTACACAAGACAATGTCTAATATGGCCTGTTCCCTGGTTGGCTCCTTGGCATACTGATCTAGATAATTATTCCTGATACATTCTATAAACTCTTCCTCTATCATACTTTTCCCAATTTGGTTGTCCCAATTTATATGCAGATTAAAATCACCCACAATTAACGTTTTTCCTTTACTATATGCTCCACTAATTTCCTGATTTCCTGAACTGCCTGTCACAAAATATAATACACAGACTTCACACCTGTTTCTAACACTACAATTAAGTCATCACAGAACATTGAAAAAGAAACTCTCTGCATATATCAGGGAGAAGATAACCTGGCTGAATTAGTAGCATTCTTGCCCTTGAGTCAGATAATTGTGGGTTTCAGTCCCATATCGGGACTTTGAACTCGTATGGTGTAGCCTGACACTCCCAATGCAGTGCTGGGGTTGCACTGCATTGTGCAAGGTGTCATCCTTCAGATGAGGTGTTAAACCGAGGTCCCATCTGACAGTTTAGGTGAAATTAAAGATCCCATGGTACTATTTGAAAAGATAAGGGATTTCTCTCGCTGTCCTGGCCAAGAATTCCCCAGATAAAATTTGTCATTCATTACCTGGCTGTGCGCATATTGGCTGCTGCATTTCTTCAAACTTGCTGCATTTACCTTTTCAAAAATACCCAGTAACCACACTTTGAAGTTAATCTTATCAGGCAATTTGAGACATCCTCCCAGTGTGAAAGTTGCTATATTAACACAAGGATTATTATATTTCTAAATCTTCAAACTGTTTATGCCACTCCACTGGTACCTCAGAAAAAGTCGTCATTCTGTTTGTATAAATCCAACCGTTTCATAGTGAGTATCAACAAATTACATGATGGCTGTATTCTAACTAATTTAATCAATATTTGGTTACTGAGAACATTTGCATACATCCAAGATTTATTTGCAAATACCTCTGAGTATTTTAGAAAGAAAAGTTAATTATTTCAACAGATCACATATCACTAACATTGAAAGTGTCTGTTATAAACACTACACAGATGTTTGATTCTACTTTCCCAAGCCCCAGGATACCAATGATCACTTTGAAGTTATACTCGCTGGAGTCTTCATCTATCCAATATGAGTAACATGAATTTTATTTCAGTAAATGTCCAGTTTGTTTCATTACATATGTGTTGTGCTGGAAGCAACACACCATGCAGCTCGTTGATGATGCGTCTTGCTTTCTTCAGAATGTTACCATAATACACTTCCAATCACTAATTCTTTTTGAAAAGTTGGTATAAAAGTGTCTTATTTCCTCCAAACTATCAGCAATTAAGAAGTTTAGCAAGGGTGGTTTGGAAGAAAGTTTATCTCATTCTCTTTGTTTCACTTAGACTAACAATAATAATTCTTACATTTGATTTAGCCAAGTCAGGATGACATTTCAAAGCATTCATAGGATTTACTGAAGAGCGTAGTGACTATATTGTGTATGCAATTTATATAGTGTTATTCATGTAAAATAAACATCTGAAAGTAATTAACAGAATGAGATTGATTAGAAAGAAATTGAATAATGTAATATTGGCAAATTATGTTATGTAGGCAAAAGGTGTGGCAAGCAATAATGTTCTGAGCTAATGTTAATAATAATGTTAATTTGAGATTTGGGGTTAAATTATATGTGGGTATAAACAACAGAAAAAAGATTACTTTGCTTTGAAATTATAGCAGAGAGATACCTCAATGGTTACTGAATCATCAGGTCAGATGAGTCCTAAACTAATATTGAAAATTATTGAAATTGAAAAAGGAGAGATCTGGAAATAAATAAAATTGTATTTCAAGCCAATGTCTCTGGACACATTTATCTGTTTAAATGCGATAAATGATGCACTGAAAAAGTGATATTCCATCAATGAGATCTTTTGAGAAGACTAATTTTTACCCAGTGATGTATATTTTGTTAAGTCCTCTACGTATTTGTGTGTAAATACGTATAAATATTTGTATATAAAAAAATCTAGTATCATTGGCAATTTTAGAGAAGATCCCCTTGAAACCCTATTTATTTCCGAATTATAACCATTGATGGAAAACAAAAGATGACCTAGCCAGTGAACAAGAGGATTATCTATATGTATCCCAGCAAAAAAATAATTTACCACTTCTCTCTTTCTTCTATCTTTAAATCATCCCTCTAATTTACATTTAACACCATGCGCTTTAGTTTTAATAACAATAATAATAACCCTTGCATTTGATATAGCACTTTTCACGTCGGGAGGACGTCCCAAAGCGCTTCACAGAACACACTGTAAAGTGAATTGACTGTATATTTGTGGGCGAACGCGGCAGCCAATTGCGCACAGCAATGTCCCACAAACATTCTTAGATTGAAAATGACCAATTTATTATTGTTTTTGGTTTTGGAGGGATTATTATTTTCTTAATCAGTCTCTTTTATTGCCATGTTATCAAACACATCCTGATAATCCATACAGTGGAATCTTGTAATAACACTTAATAATAATAATAAAAATAATCCTTGCATTTGGTATAGCACCTTATCACGTCTTTGAGACGTCTCAAAATGCCTCACAGAATATACTGTAAAGGGAATTGACTGTATCTTTTGCGGGCAAAATGCAGCAGCCAACCTCGCAATGCAGTGTCCCACAGTCGTGTTTCGAATAGTGTCATGGGAATTTTAATGTCCACTTAAACTGAGGTCATTTCTGCCTATTCAGGAGGCTTTAAGGTTCCCATGACAGTATTCAAAAAGTGAAGGGAGGGTCTCAGTGTCCTGGCCAACAATCCCACAGATGAAAGTGGTCATTTAACTCTTTGCTGTTTGTGTGGCATTACTGGGTGGAAATTAGTCTACATTGGTCTTTTGTAGACAACTAGCCCACAACACTCTTTGTTAGTCTAACACAGGAAGAATGAGTTTGGCGAGTTACTAGTAGAAGAACACATCAATCTGATCCACATCTCTCAGAGATTAGGGTGGAGATGAGAAAATTACATTTTGACAAAAATCATAGGAGAGTCTGACAGCAGGTTCAGTTTTTCCGACAAACAGGAAGAACCTGCTTCCAAAGCTCATCTTATATTGGCTGCTAGGGTGTTTGGACTTGGAACTGATGCTCTATGTGTTGTGGTGTGAAGTTTCACAGCTCTATCTGTTGTTTGTACTAGTTTAAAAGTCTACAGATAGTCTTTGGGTGATATGTCATTTAACCCTAACTGGAATGATGCTCTGCAGGTTTATATCAAGTCACTGTAGTAAAATAATTATCTTTGCATTTGATATTTGCCTATAGCATTGAGAATATCTCAAAGCATTTCATAACCTTATCTGTAAAGTAAAAGTGACTTTGTATTTGCATTAAATGCAGCAGCCAATTTTGCACAACAATGTCCCACAAACAGCCATGAAGTGAATGACCAATTTTTATTTGGAGGATTGTTGGCAGGATGCCAGGAGAAACCCCTTTCTCTTTTCGAATAGTGGCATGGGATCTTTACCATCCATCTGAACAGTGTGAATATTAAAGATCCCATGTGGGTTTAAAGTCCTTATGTGGGGCTTAAACCCACAGCCATCTGATTCAGCAATGAGATTGTTACCAACTGAGCCAGTCTGACACCTGATCAGGACAGAAAGGATGAGACTTAGGAAAACCATCTTGGTCAGCAAAAGCTCCTCTAACACTAAGAAGTGTGTCTGTCTACATGTCTGTACAACTGAAACGAATGAAGATATGACAGAGAAACTAAATGATGGCTGGGAGTGTTATAACTGACACCAGCTGATACGGTATTGCTGAAGCTTGTTGCAAGCTATACTACAGCAATGGAATTATAATCATGTTGGAACCATGGATTGAAGCTCAGATGTTTTATTAATGCCATCAGATCACAGATTGTATTACGACCCTTCTCAACTCTCCCAATCATCAATCTTACCTGTCAGATTTGTTTTTCAAAGGCCCAATGGCTTCTCAGTTCAAAAGTAGTTAAGGTTACCTTACAATGATTGAGAACACTCTCACAAGATGACTCACCCACACTACAATGCCACCACTAAACACAAATTACTCTGACTTGAGAACTTCACATTCCCAGGCTTTCATTTGGGTTGTGACCAGAAAACGCCCTAGGTTGTCACTCAATTGATATTTACATAGAGTTTTGTTTAGGGCTGCACACCCACTACATTTCTTTCTTTAAAAGGAATGTAAAGGCTTGTTTGTATTACAGATCCAACTTGGAAGTAAGATTTTAGGTGTTGACTCTGGATCCCAGGTTCTACAGAAACTGGCACATCTATACAGTGGGGCAGTTTCTACAGCAGCCAGAAAAAAACATAAATACTCTATGTCGCCGATTCTTAACCATGGTTCATCTCCATCCTGCTGTATTTTGTCCAATTGATATTCAGGGCCCAAGCAACCAGTGACCAAAACCATTTCAAGCTGTTATAGGAGGGTGAAACCTTAGCTATCTCTGCCTCGAACAACAAGCCCAGTACAGTTTATATTTCCATCATGGTTCTATGGTGGCTCTCGAGATGCCCAGTAAAACCAGTAGTTTTAGTTTGTGTATTATATTCTGAGGAATCAACGTCAGTTACACTGCTGGTTTGTCACCATTGGAGAAGCTGCTGTGGAAATTGAAAATCATCTCCTGCAAAATATGAAGCATTCAACGCAGAAGATTTTTGATACTGAGTGAGTCAAAGTGTCTCAGTTGCTTTCCGGAATTAATTTATTGACAGTGTTTTGACATCTAGCTTTTATAGGCAGAAGTTCAGATCTATCCAAAAATAACAACTTTCTCTTTGCCATCAGAAACGATGGAAACTCAAAGCCCATTTCTGAACTGACACTGAGTCAATCAGACTCACCTCAACAGTAAGCCTCACCAATGAACTAAGTTGGATACCTTTCAATATAAACTGGAAGTTGAATTTGGAAATCATGATCCCAGATGCCTACTCTGCTTGATATCACACATTGCTTCCTACTTCTTCATCTTCTCCTGTCAATGTTCCCACCCCCACATGGCTGCTTGATTTAAAACAAATGCGAACATCGAAATGGAAAGCTGTCTCTGGATTTATATGTATGTCTACTTTCTCCATGTGCTGATATGGAACAGAGATGTCAACATCAGGAAAATGTTGGCACTGTCATTTATGATTAGCAAGATTACCATATATAACAAACCATTTAAACTTCTGGTCCTATCTTATACTGCTAGGCAAACCCCTGTACCCCCCCTCCCCCTGTACCTAAGGTTTGGACCCACTGGAAATCGAATCCAGGTCCTCTTGCTTGCCAGCCGAGTACTCTCACCAATATGCTACAGGACTCTCTAGATATTGATGGATATCTGAGGTGATTACAAGAAACAATCACATTCAGTTACATTCTGTCTATTATTTTGAATCTCTTGATCAGATTACAATAGAATGCTACTTATCTACATTTGTGCTTTGATCAAGTTGGGCTACAATGCAGCAGAAAGGTTTACTAGCTTCATTATTCTTCCCAAATTGCTTCGCAAATTGGAGGTTTGAGATGTAATACAGAGAGGCTGACAAAGTCACTGTGAGGCGAGAGAAAATGACTGGGATTGTGTGACGAGACCTGTAAACTAGAGAGAGAAGTACTAACGCTATATACTATTATGCTAATATAACTGTTGGTGGAATATTTTGGTTAGTATTGTATATTATTAGCATAATGACCCATTATCTGAACTATTTTCATTCTCACAATAGGGTTTGCCTTAATTAGTCAGATAATGGACTCAATCATAGATACTGTTATCATCTGTTGTATTCCCAAATACATGGTACATTTTCTAACATGAATAGTTTCCCTCCTTGGATTCTTGGATTTATACGGCCAGCAGTAGATGGTAAGGGTCAGTGTGTTCCCTGTATGGTGACTCAGTTGGTAGGAATCTTGTCCTTGCGTCAGAAAGTTGTAGATTCAAATCCCACACAGAAACTTGAAATCACGGTCTAAGCCGACATACCAGTGCAGTACTGGGGGGCAGGGGGGAGTTGGGGGGGTGCGGTGGGTGTGGGGGGGTGCGGTGGGTGGGTGGGGGCGGAATTGCATAGTTGGAGGTGCATCCTTCAGATGAGATATTAAACCAAAGTTCCATCTGGCTGTTTAGGTGGACGTTAAAGATCCTGTGTCACTATCCTAAAACGGAAGGGAGTTTGACCAACAAATCCCCCAAATAAAAAAAATGAGTCACTGACTTCATGGTTGTTTGAGGGATATTGCTGTGCGCAAACCGGCTGCCGAGTTTCGCCCACAAAGTACAGTGAGTCCACTTTACAGTGTGAAGCACTTTGAGACATCTTGATGACCTGATAAGGTGCCCGCTCTATCAAATGCAAGGAATATTATTATTATTATTATTATTATGGTGATGATTAAATGGACTTCAGCATGAGGGGACTGATACACAGCACGTCTGGTGGGCCGTTCGCTATCCTGAAACCATCGGGTTAGAAACCGACACCTTATAATTTCTTCAGTTTTGAATCCCCCCCCGACCCCCCCCCCCCCACCCCGACCCCCCCCACCCCCCCACCCCGACCCCCCCCCCACCCCGACCCCCCCCCCCCCCGACCCCCCCCCCCCCACCCCGACCCCCCAACCCCCCCACCCCGACCCCCCCCCCACCCCACCCCGACCCCCCCCCCCCCGACCCCCCCCCCCCCCCACCTCGCTCCTGTCAAGTGAACAACAACAACAGCAGCAGCAGCAACAACAACAACTTGCGTTTATATAAGGCCTGTGGCAGGTGGGGGTGCAGTCCCAGACCCTCAAACGTTACCAGGAGAGGGTCACTCCGGAGAAGCGCTGCGACGGCGCCTCCTCCACTGCCCTCAGCTGGAAACAGAGAAGCTTTGACAGGAATGAGATGCCCGGGGGGCCTGGGGGGCCCGGGGGGCCGGGGGGCCCGGGGGCCGGGGGGGCCCGGGGGCCGGGGGGCCGGGGGCCGGGGGGCCCGGGAGGCCGGGGAGCCTGGGGGCCCGGGGGCCCGGGGGAACCTTCTCGGTGGTTCTGTGGGCGGGGGGGGGGGGAGTTACTGGCAGAGGTCGGGGAGGGGTGTGGGGGCTCCTGAGGGGCCGCCAGTGTCTGGGATGAGAAGCGCTGCTCGTTGTGCGCTTTAAAAAGGAGCCGAACTGCAGTGAACCTGACACAGACCTACACTGCCCAAGTGAGACCCCCCCTGTACCCCCTCTCCCCCTGTACCCCCTTCCCCCTGTACCCCCTGTACCCCCTCTCCCCCTGTACCCCCTCCCCCTGTACCCCCTGTACCCCCTCTCCCCCTGTACCCCCTGTACCCCCCTCCCCCTGTACCCCTCTCCCCCTGTACCCCCTGTACCCCCTCTCCCCCTGTACCCCCTCTCCCCCTGTACCCCCTCTCCCCCTGTACCCCATCTCCCCCTAAACCCACTCTCCCCCTGTACCCCCTCCCCCCTGTACCCCTCTCCCCCTGTACCCCCTTCCCCTCCCCCTGTACCCCCCCTGTACCCCCTCTCCCCCTGTACCCCTACCCCCTCTCCCCCTGTACCCCTCTCCCCCTGTACCCCCCTGTACCCCCCTGTACCCCTCTCCCCCTGTACACCCTCTCCCCTGTACCCCCTCTCCCCCTGTACCCCCTCTCCCCCTGTACCCCCTCCCCCTGTACCCCCTCTCCCCCTGTACCCCCTCTCCCCCTGTACCCCCTCTCCCCCTGTACCCCCTCTCCCCCTGTACCCCCCTGTACCCCCCTGTACCCCCTCTCCCCCTGTACCCCCCCCCTGTACCCCCTGTACCCCCCCTGTACCCCCCCTGTACCCCCTGTACCCCCCCTGTACCCCCCCCTGTACCCCCGCTGTACCCCCCCTGTACCCCCCCTGTACCCCCTGTACCCCCTGTACCAGGGAAATCTCGGTCGGATGCGCTCAAATCCACTTCCAGCAAAAGGATGAAAACTAACTGAACGGATGGTGTTTTTTCACAGTATGAGCTCCGCCGCTGTCCGGGCGCTGCTGCTGTTCGCGGCTCTGATCGTCTACGGTAAGATATTAAAGGCTGCGCTGTCTCTGGTCACCGCATCAAACCCGCTCCCAACTCGCTGTCAGACAGGACTCTGGACAAGACAGTCCCTCCCCGGCCCGGCTCAGCCCAGCTCAGCCCAGCTCGGCCCGGCCCGGCCCAGCCCAGCCCAGCTCAGCCCAGCTCGGCCCGGCTCAGCCCAGCTCAGCCCGGCCCAGCCCAGCTCGGCCCGGCCCAGCCCAGCTCAGCTCAGCTCAGCTCAGCCCAGCTCAGCTCCCAGTGACTGTCAGCCCAGCTCAGCTCAGCCCAGCCCGGCCCAGCTCCCAGTGACTGTCAGCCCAGCCCAGCTCAGCCCAGCCCAGCTCCCAGTGACTGTCAGCCCAGCCCAGCTCAGCCCAGCCCAGCTCCCAGTGACTGTCAGCCCAGCCCAGCTCAGCTCAGCCCAGCTCAGCTCCCAGTGACTGTCAGCCCAGCTCAGCTCCCAGTGACTGTCAGCTCTGCTCAGCTCCCAGTGACTGTCAGCTCAGCTCAGCTCCCAGTGACTGTCAGCTCTGCTCAGCTCCCAGTGACTGTCAGCCCAGCTCAGCTCCCAGTGACTGTCAGCTCAGCCCAGCTCAGCTCCCAGTGACTGTCAGCTCAGCTCAGCTCAGCCCAGCTCAGCTCCCAGTGACTGTCAGCCCAGCTCAGCTCCCAGTGACTGTCAGCTCAGCTCAGCTCCCAGTGACTGTCAGCTCAGCCCAACTCAGCTCCCAGTGACTGTCAGCCCAGCTCAGCTCCCAGTGACTGTCAGCCCAGCTCAGCTCCCAGTGACTGTCAGCCCAGCCCAGCTCAGCTCCCAGTGACTGTCAGCCCAGCCCAGCTCCCAGTGACTGTCAGCCCAGCCCAGCTCAGCTCCCAGTGACTGTCAGCCCAGCCCAGCTCAGCTCCCAGTGACTGTCAGCTCAGCTCAGCTCCCAGTGACTGTCAGCTCAGCTCAGCTCAGCTCCCAGTGACTGTCAGCCCAGCCCAGCTCCCAGTGACTGTCAGCCCAGCCCAGCTCCCAGTGACTGTCAGCCCAGCTCAGCTCCCAGTGACTGTCAGCCCAGCCCAGCTCAGCTCCCAGTGACTGTCAGCCCAGCCCAGCTCAGCTCCCAGTGACTGTCAGCTCAGCTCAGCTCCCAGTGACTGTCAGCTCAGCTCAGCTCAGCTCCCAGTGACTGTCAGCCCAGCCCAGCTCCCAGTGACTGTCAGCCCAGCCCAGCTCCCAGTGACTGTCAGCCCAGCTCAGCTCCCAGTGACTGTCAGCCCAGCTCAGCTCCCAGTGACTGTCAGCCCAGCCCAGCTCCCAGTGACTGTCAGCTCAGCTCAGCTCCCAGTGACTGTCAGCTCAGCTCAGCTCAGCTCCCAGTGACTGTCAGCTCAGCTCAGCTCCCAGTGACTGTCAGCCCAGCCCAGCTCAGCTCCCAGTGACTGTCAGCCCAGCTCAGCTCCCAGTGACTGTCAGCCCAGCTCAGCTCCCAGTGACTGTCAGCCCAGCTCAGCTCAGCCCAGCTCAGCTCCCAGTGACTGTCAGCTCAGCTCAGCTCCCAGTGACTGTCAGCTCAGCCCAGCTCAGCTCCCAGTGACTGTCAGCCCAGCTCAGCTCCCAGTGACTGTCAGCCCAGCTCAGCTCCCAGTGACTGTCAGCCCAGCTCAGCTCCCAGTGACTGTCAGCTCAGCTCAGCTCAGCTCCCAGTGACTGTCAGCCCAGCCCAGCTCAGCTCCCAGTGACTGTCAGCCCAGCTCAGCTCCCAGTGACTGTCAGCTCAGCTCAGCTCCCAGTGACTGTCAGCTCAGCTCAGCCCAGCTCCCAGTGACTGTCAGCTCAGCTCAGCTCCCAGTGACTGTCAGCTCAGCCCAGCTCAGCTCCCAGTGACTGTCAGCCCAGCTCAGCTCCCAGTGACTGTCAGCTCAGCTCCCAGTGACTGTCAGCCCAGCTCAGCTCCCAGTGACTGTCAGCCCAGCCCAGCTCCCAGTGACTGTCAGCCCAGCCCAGCTCAGCTCCCAGTGACTGTCAGCTCAGCTCAGCTCCCAGTGACTGTCAGCTCAGCCCAGCTCAGCTCCCAGTGACTGTCAGCCCAGCTCAGCTCCCAGTGACTGTCAGCCCAGCTCAGCTCCCAGTGACTGTCAGCCCAGCTCAGCTCCCAGTGACTGTCAGCCCAGCTCAGCTCCCAGTGACTGTCAGCTCAGCTCAGCTCCCAGTGACTGTCAGCTCAGCCCAGCTCAGCTCCCAGTGACTGTCAGCCCAGCTCAGCTCCCAGTGACTGTCAGCCCAGCTCAGCTCCCAGTGACTGTCAGCTCAGCTCAGCTCCCAGTGACTGTCAGCCCAGCTCAGCTCCCAGTGACTGTCAGCTCAGCTCCCAGTGACTGTCAGCCCAGCTCAGCTCCCAGTGACTGTCAGCTCAGCTCAGCTCCCAGTGACTGTCAGCCCAGCCCAGCTCAGCTCCCAGTGACTGTCAGCCCAGCTCAGCTCCCAGTGACTGTCAGCTCAGCTCAGCTCCCAGTGACTGTCAGCTCAGCCCAACTCAGCTCCCAGTGACTGTCAGCCCAGCCCAGCCCAGCTCCCATTGACTGTCAGCCCAGCTCAGCTCCCAGTGACTGTCAGCCCAGCTCAGCTCCCAGTGACTGTCAGCTCAGCTCAGCTCCCAGTGACTGTCAGCCCAGCTCAGCTCCCAGTGACTGTCAGCTCAGCCCAGCTCAGCTCCCAGTGACTGTCAGCCCAGCTCAGCTCCCAGTGACTGTCAGCCCAGCCCAGCTCAGCTCCCAGTGACTGTCAGCCCAGCTCAGCTCCCAGTGACTGTCAGCTCTGCTCAGCTCCCAGTGACTGTCAGCCCAGCTCAGCTCCCAGTGACTGTCAGCTCAGCTCAGCTCAGCTCCCAGTGACTGTCAGCCCAGCTCAGCTCAGCTCCCAGTGACTGTCAGCCCAGCTCAGCTCCCAGTGACTGTCAGCCCAGCTCAGCTCCCAGTGACTGTCAGCTCAGCTCAGCTCCCAGTGACTGTCAGCCCAGCTCAGCTCAGCTCCCAGTGACTGTCAGCCCAGCTCAGCTCCCAGTGACTGTCAGCCCAGCTCAGCTCCCAGTGACTGTCAGCCCAGCTCAGCTCCCAGTGACTGTCAGCCCAGCTCAGCTCAGCTCCCAGTGACTGTCAGCCCAGCTCAGCTCAGCTCCCAGTGACTGTCAGCCCAGCTCAGCTCCCAGTGACTGTCAGCCCAGCTCAGCTCCCAGTGACTGTCAGCCCAGCTCAGCTCCCAGTGACTGTCAGCTCAGCTCCCAGTGACTGTCAGCCCAGCCCAGCTCCCAGTGACTGTCAGCCCAGCTCAGCTCCCAGTGACTGTCAGCTCAGCTCAGCTCCCAGTGACTGTCAGCCCAGCTCAGCTCCCAGTGACTGTCAGCTCTGCTCAGCTCCCAGTGACTGTCAGCCCTGCTCAGCTCCCAGTGACTGTCAGCTCTGCTCCCGCAGCACTTTGCTGGCTGTCAGTTGCAATCTTTTCTCTCTGGCTTTCCTTCTTGATCGGTTGCATTTGACCTCAGCCAAAAACACACCAGGACGTTTTTCAGCATCGTCACTTTCTTTTAAAGATAACGTTTTATTTCAGATCCAATGCATGACATTGGCTAAAAAATTAATTGCTCACACTCAGGACTTAACGAGAGTGCAATTTCCCTTTATGCCACAAGGTCTAATACAATCTAATTCTTTACTACAAAAGTGTTCAGTTAATTTTCTTCAGGTTTGCTCATTACCTGGAAATAATTTTGAGATATCCCGTGTTTGTCAGTATTGAAAAGTGTATATATTTATATGCTCTGTGTACAAGTTTCTGTTAACAGTGGGATCGAATAATCATAGTAATAATAATCCTTGCATTTCATACAGCACCTTATCACGTCTTTGAGCCGTAACAAAGTGCTTCACAGGATATACTGTAAAGTGAATTGACTGTATATTTTGTGGGCGAAATGCGGCAGCCAATTGTGCACAACAGTGTCCCACAAACAGTTATGGATTGAATAACCAAATTATTTTTTTTATTATTTTTTGAAGGAATTAGTACTCCCGGAAAAGCGATCCACCAATCGACTAATAACTGGGTTCCCTTTATTGCTAGGTAAACAGAGGCGTGTGGAGTAAGAAAACTTGCTAACGTTTCACCTTGCCCGGTAATTGAACCCAGGTCCTCTCGCTTGCGAGGCAAGTGCTCTAACCAATTCTCTACAGGACTCCACATTAGTGAGTGACTGGTAGGGGGAGATTCTGCTTAACAACAGCAACAACAAAATTACATTTGCATAGCACCTTTCATGTCCCAAGGCGCTGGCAATCAGTGTTTCGCACCCGAGCAGGTGGTCGGGCTTGGGGAGGGTGGAGGGTAGGTGGGGGAGGAGGTTCAAGGGAGGCAACACTCAATTAAAAGGTTAACATGACGTATAAAATTCGGTCGGCGTCGCTGCTCATCCTACAAGTGTAAAACGTCAAGCAATCAACAACAACAACAACAAGAGTACATCTGTATAGCGCCTTTCATGTCGGGAGGACGTCCCAAGGCACTGTTCAATAATATCTATGCATCATTTCACATTGGATATAAACTGAATACACGGTATTCATATTTTTTAGCATCTATGTTCGCAAAGTATTTCATGACAGTTCATGCTTTTCTACACATAATGTTCTTCCGTTTGGACCGTTTGGAGTTGGATCAACAGATTTTTATTTTGAGGTTAATGGTTGCCTAGTGGTCCCTACCAACCTGCCCGCTCCCTCCGTTCAGCGGGCTCCGGTCTGCTCCATGTCTCCCGTCCAACCCGCCCTACCATCGGTGGCCGGGCTTTCAGCCTCTCTGCCCCCACACTCTGGAACTCCATCCCACGGTCCCTTTGCCTCGCTTCCTCCCTTGCCTCCTTCAAGGATGGTCTCAAGACCCTTCTCTTCGATCGTGCCTTTGGTCTCCCTCCCACCTCTCTGCCCTCCCTCACCCCTACACCACCCCTCCCCCATGCTCG